TAATACAATTTTTTTTTTGCCCAAAATTCAAATAAGAGTTTCCTTCTATTTGGGTCAACTGATTGATTATTAAGTCATTTTTCTTGTTAGAATTCAAAAGTAAGAAAGTTAACTTCTTTTTTTTTGTTGATAATTTTGTAAGTTTTTGGTTGAGCTTTTCTTGTTATTTCTTGTATGGAGTAGTAATACAAATATTTGATATTCAATAATCTTAGTCAACTGTAAGTTGATATGGGTTTGGAGGTTTTTGATTGTATATAAGTTTTGATTTTCCTGATAGGGGTTTTCATATTGTTTTGATGTCCTTTTGAGTTTTCTGATTAACTCTCATGGTATTTCTTTTTTCATTTTCTTGAGTTTTTGAAGTTTTGATTGTTTCGTGTTGTGACTTGGTGGATAGATACACGGTATCTGTGTTGGTGGGAGGTAGCAGGTATCGGTTATCAAAAAGAATTTGTTTCTGTTATGATCAGCTTTTTGGGGGATTCTATGTTTCTGTTCATCAGCTGGGGTAGCTGTGCTCAACAGTTACTGCCTTGTTTATGCTGTTATTTATGTTTATCTTCTAAAAATCTACGACATTCTGAAGGATTGAATAATCAGTAGTTTAATTCTTGTAACGAGAAGTCAATGAACTTCTGTAGATATCTCTTGTGTCAGTTTTAATGGCGTATATGAGGTTCAAGTAGTTTTAGCTGTCAATGAATTGTTGGAAACCTACAAGTTAATTATTCTTGAAATTTCTACATGTAAAATGAATGTGAGTTCTCCAAGGTGCAGAGCTTTTGAACTTCATTGTTCTTGAAGCCTTGGAGATTGTCATACTATGTTTTGGAAAACAGCTTTTAAGTTCTGACTTGACCTGCTTAAGGGTATTAGTCATTTTCTATCATTTAATTTTGTAAACATATGGCATTGTTGATGCTAATTATTGTATGTGGTTTGACAGGATTTGGTGGTTAGTGTAATCAATGGATGTATATTCTGGCAAAAGAGCTAAAAATGGGCTTGTCGTGCCCAGAAGAGGTTTAAGGGATACTGCTGATAGCAGAGATGAAGATGTTCAGCTGCTCTCGCGGCTTGAATGCAGTTGCCGGCTCAACCATTTGAAGAGCAGCTGTGTTGGAACTAAAGAGAAATCCAGATCATTTAAACCTACTTTTAATGCTTCGAATGGGAAGGATGTGGTTGGGAGTTCATCTAGGACATCTTCAGTGCTGAGTGTAAGAAACGCACGCGAGGAATCTCACATAAAATCTTTCTCTCAAGTTGGAAATGATCAGTCAGAAATTAGCTCTTTGAATGGTGTGCCAGAAGTTACAGAACAAATTCAGTCTTCGCCAGAGTATCAATTCAATATTAGTTCAGCAGCGAGAGACACTAGATCAAGCAAAGCTAGATCGACAGAAGCAGGACACTCTAGTGGAACATCCAGTGGTAAACCTCGTAAAATAGTTTGTCACAAGTCTGGTTCTTACAATCAACATACTCCAATGCATGCCTCTGTTTCTTCACAATCTAAAGCCATTGATTCTGGAAAGCGGCCCTGTAGCAGTGGGGCTGGATATGGGTTGAGAAATCTAAAATGTAAGTCCATATCAGATGTCCTCCCAAATAATTGTTCAACGTTGGAATCAAGATTTAGTAGAAGGGACATGGTAAAAAGGAGAAATACCGAAGGTGAAAGCAGTTCATCTGCTAAAGGGAAGAAAAATACCAAGGCTTCACAGAGAGAAAAGCATGTCACTCGTCAAACTCATGGAATCTCCATCTCTGAGTCAAGAAGTGGCAGAAATTTGGATTATAGTGTGAATAATCATGCTTTGTCAGTTCAGACCCGCAGGTCAATGAATGTGAATTCTAGGTTTAGGGGTCCAGTACAAGATTCATTGCAAACTGAGTCCTCTGGCTTAGTCCAAAGTTTACATCGGCCTGAAATGCCAGATCTCAATCTGGAGTCATCAAGCCAATTGTTCACAGATGGCTCTTCATCAAGTGATTTTAGTTCTTATAGTTTTCCTGGAAATGATATTGATGATTTACCCAGTGTAGTGCCCTTCACTTCTGCCGAACTAGGTATTAACCGATTAATGAACCACCAGACCTTACAGCGATATAACATGGATGGAGTTGCTCAGGTATTTACCAGACGAATCTAAATTATTCTGTTTCCCAAAATTTACATGATTTTTGTTTAAGATATTTGATTTGCTTACTGCTTCACTTTACAGGTATTATTGGCACTTGAGAGAATGGAAGCAGATGAAGAGTTAACATATGAGGTATATTTTAGTACTTCAGACCGCCTGACAATGTCCTATCTGGATTTATCAATGGAACTATTGTTTTCTGTTTACAGCAGCTGCTTGCATTGGAGACGAACTTGCTGTTTAGCGGCCTTAACTTCTATGACCAGCATAGGGACATGAGACTGGATATAGATAGCATGTCCTATGAGGTCTGTTTTGCAGTTCTGATACTTTATGAGTACTGAGTATTTAAAAAAGTATTCATTCTTATATCAACAATCTAAGAAAGTCATTTTCTAGCTGAAATCTTCTCAAGTTAGAGTACTATTCCTTGGGGGGTAAAAGAATAGCTTTTCTCCCGGTATAGTATGATTCTATAGCTTCCAGGTCATGATTTATTGCTTGTGAACAGGAATTACTAGCTCTTGAAGAGAGGATGGGCACTGTCAGCACAGCTCTGCCGGAGGAAGCAGTATCAAAGTGTCTTCAAAGAAGCATTTATCAAGGCATGCACTCGGAACTAGGGGCATTTGGAGGTGATGGGGATGAAGCTGAGATCAAATGCAGTATTTGTCAGGTACATTTACCTATTTTTATATTTACTGAAGTGGACGATTCTTTATGTTACATCTCGTCTCTGAAAACATGTAGGAGCCAGAAAACGTGTGCTTAGACCTAATAAGAGTCGGATCTTGCCATCCTTGACGTTGTTTCTTAAGCTTTTAGGATGCTCTATCTAGATGACAGCGTACTTTCAGACACTAAGCACATAATGTTTTGCAGGAGGATTATGTGATTGGAGATGAAATTGGAAAGTTGGAATGCAAGCATGGTTATCACATGGAATGTGTACAACAATGGTTAAAGCACAAGAATTGGTGCCCAATCTGCAAGACATCAGCAGCAGCTTCATCAAAGCTAACAACAGCACCATCTTAGTTTAGATCAATTCAAACACCAAATCCGACGAAAAAATAAAATAAAAATAAATTTAGACACCAAAATTCCAGATGTGGGGAAGCTGAATTGTTTCCTTACTGTACAAGTTCATCCAGATGGTTGGTTCTAGCATTTTATTTTTCTCCTTTTTCCTTGATTCTTGTACATTTTGTGTTTCACTTGTAAATATTTGACATTTTAAGCTGTAAGCTCAGGTTTTTATTAAGAATGAATTACAAGGATATAAGTAAGCTACTAACTAAAGCCATGACATGGTTCGAAGGTACTTTATTTCGGTTGTAAAGGTTTCTTGTTCCGGTTGTAAAGCTCGTAGATGGAAAATGAAAGAGGATGAGCTGGTCCTTTTGCTCAACTAACCTCCAAAGGACTCAAAAGTAATACTACAAAACTAATGTATTGGCTAAATGTGTAACTAACTTTCCAATGGGTACATCCCACGTCCACAGCCTCTCGTACAACTTCCCAAGCACGAAAACACCTCATAATCTTTGTAACATTGATTGATTAAAGCAACTCTTTTAAATGAAAACACACACTTTGGTGTATAAAACATTCCTCGTTGGTAAGATTTGGAGAAAGTCTACATTTTGAGATGTGATGTAGACAATTTATCACAATATAAGCTTTTTCTACACTCAGAATATGATATATTCTAATACAAATATTGGTGATTGTTTTCATGACTTAAACGTGCTTACGAATTGAGCCGCTTTAATGGAATGTGCGTGGCTGCGTGCCTTTGAAGTCCTAAAAGCAAAGATTTTTGCAGATATATCTAGAAAAAATGGTTTATTATTAATAAACGATTTAGTCTTAACTAACGAACTTATTTAAAAGGCCACTTATTGATAAATGCTTTTATTAAAATCATTAAATTGTTTAGTTATTAAAATGATTTATTTTTTTTGCAATTAACTGACTGTTTTATTAATCACCAAGTGATATATACAAATCCGAGTAAATTAATACCCTGGTTTCTCCTCATGATATCCTTATAGCAGCCTAAGAAATCTAAAAAAACAGAGATCCTATAATGAACATATAGCTTCAAACAGCTTCCTATTGCCCCTCACTCTTATACATGTGTTTGTCTTTATTGTATGAAGCAAGGTCTCTTTTGCTTTGGTAACTCGCTGGAATATTCAGACATTTTTCACACCAAACCTCATATATCACTGCTGTTAAAAATCCGAACCTAACAATTTCTGCCTCGCCTGATCATTGGTTACTGAGAGGCACAAGCTTTTAAAAGGGTCTTTCGTGCTGCTCTAGTGATTAAACTGATTTTATTTATGAAATAGTTTCAACTACATACCAATATTTTTTAAAAATTCGACTTAAAATTTAATTGCTTAATTAATTAATGAAATGACGATTTACTTAGCATTCTCTCCCCCTTTTCTCACTTTTCATGTGTACAAAAAAACAAAGAGGAAAAAATGAGAATTTTACAATTTAGGTAAATAATTACATGTGAAAGAAATTCACACCAAATATCAAGATTAAAGAAAATAATTCAAAGCTTATATTCCTAAATTCAAGATTACTTTTTTAATTATTTTAATAAATAATAGGGTTGGTAACAACTAAACCAAAGAGGGGCCCAACAAGAAGCATACGACATTTGACTGGACAAATTTTGTACTGAAATCTGTCTTCTTCTCTGAATTCGCCATCTTATTGATCTTCAGATAAGATTATTGAACTCTCCTTCTTCTCCCTCCCTTCCTCCACAGGTTAAATTTTGCTCCTCTTTTTCTTGGTGTTCTGTAAAATTACTTGAGAAAAATCACATCTTTGGCTCAATTTTACTTTTCAATACCTCAAATTGTCAATTCTTGTAATATAAAGCTCTTTCGGTTTTACTCTAGTTCATTCGTACATTTTGAATTCACTTTTATTTTGCCAATTGATTGAGAAAATTATATGTTAAGCTCAATTATGGTTTGGAATGCTAAAAATCAATTCTTGTTATGCAGTCTCTTTTGGGTGGGTGGGGGTTGTTTCTGATATTGGATTTGCTTCAGTTGGATAGATGAATTTGAAAGTTCCTATCTTTTTTGGGTTTTCTCCAAATAGCTCAAGAAATCACATATTCATCTCCATTGTGCTTACAAATGCTAAAATTTCTAGTCTTGCAATGAAAGTTTTTCTAGGTTCTTGTTGTTATTGGTTTTATTAACAGAATCATTAGAAAAATTCTGGTTTTGGGTCAATTTTTTTGAGAAAATTACATCTTATGCTCAATTATGTATTGGATGGTCAAATTCCAATTTTGTGATGTATTGATTTTTGTGTGTGTGTTTTTTTTTTGTGCGTGTGGATTTGCTGCAATAAAATGATGCATTTGAAAGTTCTAAGAAATCGCATTTGTAGCTAAATTATGCTTTGTAAAGCTCAAAATTCCATCTGTAAAATATGATCTTTTCGGGTATGGGATTTCGATTTGTGTGCATATTATGGGATTTCAAATTGTAATATATGCACTTTCCCTCATATTGTAGTGCTGCTTATCTGAGCAATCATGGCTTCTGTGGCAATGTTGAACGCACCTTGTAATATTGGAGCTGTAAAGTTTGAGGTGAAACTGAAGCCATCACCAAATTTGTTTTGTGCACGGCCTTCTGTTAAGTTGAATCGAAGGAGGGTGTTGACCATTAGAGCTAGCAAGGAAGGGCATGATAATGGGTCTAGTTCAGGGCCCTTGAGAAAGATGGGCTTGAGTGATGAGGAGTGTGAGGCTGCTGTAGTTGCCGGAAATGTGCCTGAAGCTCCTCCGGTTCCACCAAAGCCGGCTGCACCTGCCGGTACCCCTCTTGTGTCTTCACTGGTTAGTTTTGAGACATCATTATTTGTAATTATGTCAATTTGCCATTTTAGAGATGGCGAGGAAGTGTTCTAAGTGGACCACCTTTTTCATTAGTTTTGGAGGAGTGTTTTGATTGCTTTTTGACTTTGGTTTTGGTGGCATATTTTCTAATCTGCTAAATATTATTTCCCTATCTCCATATCAAATTGTTACAGGAATTAGATGTTTCATGAGTCCAGAGTGTTTGATTTATTTTTAATTGAACTGGCCAGATGTAAGTTGGTTACTATGGTGTACTTACATGTAATTCACAATGTTTCTGAATGACAAGTAACTTACCAACTGTTAAAATAGCAGAAGCAGTGGAGAACAAATTGCTCTGACAACTTGGTCACAATTGAGTATAGGCATCTCAATAAATGATAACTGACTTAGGATATAAAAAATGGATTCATCTACTGAATTGAGGCAAAAATTTCATAAAATGCTAGTACTGTATTGGAGGACTGCTTAGCTATTGTCGATGGGTGTTATTACATTTTGAATTCAAGATTCTTTAAAACATTTTTCAAGAGTTCTAGTACAGAAAGGCGAAAGCCTTATAAAGGAAAGTGACCATACTTTGAGAAAATTACACCGGACTATAAAATCTTGAAGTTGACAGATAAGGTCTAACAATAACTTCTTTGAACATCTTTGACTATTCTTATCTGGAAGGAGGATGCAGAATCTTGAATTTGATACTTGCAAATTACATGATATTTACTTATAGTGTATTTCTTGTATTTTTAGAAACATTGAGGGTCTTTATTCCATTTACACAAGATGATCAGCGATCATTGTTAGACATTCCTATGAATACTTGACTCTGAAGATGGTGTAATTAATGTTTTATCCTTCAACTTCTGGAAAAAAATATCCTTCAACTTCTACTCTTCTTGTAGGCTGTCAGTGGGTACTACATTTATTATTTTGTAAGTAATAGTGTTAACTTGTTTAGTTTGTGTATATGATAGCATCTTGGTTGAATTGTTGAACTGTATAAAGATTTTTTGGTGATAATGCTTTAATGTAGACTCAATACTGCATCAGAAGTTGATAGATTGATTTGCTATGTGCCTAGCTAATGACTAGATGTTGCTTGTATAGCCAATTAATAGGAGACCACGCCGTAATCGTAGGTCGTCAGTAGCAAGAGCTGCATTCCAGGAAACAAATATAAGCCCTGCGAATCTTGTATATCCACTATTTATTCATGAAGGTGAGTACTTGTCTGAGTTACTTCCTCTCTGCTTATAACCTGTATCAATCTGTTCTTACAAATTGCACACTTGCAGGTGAAGAGGACACACCTATTGGAGCAATGCCTGGATGTTATAGGCTTGGATGGAGGCATGGTCTTGTTGAAGAGGTCCGTGAGCTATCCCTGGGATTCTTCGTCCTCTATAATGACTTTGCATTCTTAGATCAAAGTTTCAGCATTTTGATTCCTTAATTCAATATGGGTATCACTCACTCTTGTTAGGATTATCAACGACATGCTTGTCTAGATTCTGACTGTGCTCTTGTCTGGCAAAAATAATTAAAATAACACTGTCAAGAACTGTGCTGTCAGATTCCTCTGAGTCACTCGCTGTGTGTAATAAGAGAGGTGTGCGTGCTGGACATGTTATTCAGTATTTTAAATATATACAAGACTTCAATTACAGCTACCAGAACAACGTATAATTTTGGAATTCAGGTCTGAATATTCATTGTCACTTTGCGAGGTTGGGTAGGATGAAAGACATCATTTTTTTTAAATAATGAAAGACCTGCAAAGATTTCCTTTTTTTACCAAAACAGTATTTAATTATAATCTTACAGTGCAAAAATCTGTCTTTTTTTTCCATCTTAAAAGAGACTGATTTATTCACTGGAAGATGATAGTTAAATACTGGTTTGGTAAAAAGGAAATCTTTGCACGTCCTAGGTACAGGTTTAAGTGTAGATATCAGGAAAAAGGAAAGAGCAATAAACAGAGAAAAAAAAAAGAAACGCATACAACAACTATCACAATTTACTACTACACCTCAATCCCAAGCAAATTTGGGGATCAGACAAGCTACCATGTGTATCTCATGTATATACTTATTTGCTAATAGGTTGAGAATGTATAGGATGACTCTTTTAATGGAGGAAATCACCTTGGAGGCTAAGAAGTACTTTTGGCGATAATTGGTACTTTTACAATTCTTATTGTCCATGTTATTGACAGACCTCATGTACAATATTCAAGGAAACCTACATTTGCTTGAACAGAAATCAAACAAAGTACTTGTAAGCTAAAATTAGTTGCTGTAAATCTGTTGTAACAAAATTGGAGTCTCCTAAATAAGAATTGAGGTGCTAAAAAGGGTGAAAAAAGGGCAGGTTAAAATCCAGTGGATGATAAATGGGTAGGCTATAGATGGGTTTGTAGGCTGCACTCAATTGCTCATCTGTAGTTGCCGCCTCTGATTGAGAAGTAAATACCAAATGGAACTGGAACATTTCTAGAATTTTACCAGCTTCCAGAATATGATCATTCTTGACACTTACTGTCATATGCTTTTAGAGGGCTCATATAAATCTTGTCAATGATTTGGTTCCAATCTTGCAGTCCATGACACATGATTTTCAGTACTTAACAAATATGGCTTGGTTAAAGATACATCTAGATCATATTTAGTGATTCAACTGCGATCATAGCACCTTTGTAATACTTCTGTGCATTCTTTTGAGCAAGTGGATTTACTTTTTCTTATGCAGGTCGCAAAGGCAAGGGATGTTGGAGTCAACAGCATTGTGCTCTTCCCAAAAGTTCCAGATGCTTTAAAGGTCCTCTTCTAGACATCTACCAGCATAAATTTCCATGTACCATCTGACTTCAGATTATATAACTTGTTTCCTGCAACTTCAGACCTCTACAGGAGATGAAGCTTACAATGACAATGGATTAGTGCCCCGAACAATACGTTTGCTGAAAGACAAATACCCTGATCTTGTATGTAGATACATGTCATCTGGTTTCTTTTATCTGCTTAAACAACTTTTCTGTGGGAAAACCCTGGCGCTTCCTCTGATGTTTGATGTGTTTTCAATAGGTTATCTACACTGATGTTGCTTTGGATCCATATTCATCTGATGGGCATGATGGCATTGTCAGAGAAGATGGTAAGACATACTTTTGTGTTCGTACCAGCCTAATGGGAAAACCTTTTATTGTTGAATTACATAAAAATTAAGAAGCAGTTCTAATAGATATAATACACATGAACCCATGGAATCCATTCTGTAAATTCTATCTCATATAGCACATCCTATTATTGTAGCTATGTTTATTATCTCTGTTAACTTTGAATTGATGCTGATGCAATGAGGTAAGTTCTCTTTCTTGGTTATGGTGATAGCAGTTAGTGTACTTCGGTTTTTAGCTTCCTGAGTTATTGTATGAAGGAGGAAGTTGTCTTTTGCACTGGAATATTTGGATAATGATCTTTTCTTTCATCATTTTGGGTCACTATAAAGCATAGACCACTAGTAGCAAAATTCCTCTTCAACAAAAAATCATACTTTCTTGTTGAAATCATTTACTTCATATAACTTTTCAGTTCATCAAACATGAAAACTTCATACATCTTACTTTTGTGACTCCTATTTGTAAGATAATAACTGATAGCTTTTGAAACTGTACTGATTCTTGATGACACTTCATCTCTATCATGGATGCTTCCCTGGATTGCAATCCGAAATATAAATGCAAGTTATATTTACGGAAAAGGGTCAAAATTACCCCTGAACAATGCGAAATAGACCATCTCCATTGCATTTTGGGATCAAAAATACCCCTACCGTTATCTTAAGGTACCACAAATATCCTCTAGAGTTAACAGCTATGATGTGGCACACCACATGACACAAATTCCACCACCTAAGCTTGTCAACTAGGATACCCACTAAATTTTGACCCAATTTATATAGAATCCAAACCCTCACCCATTCTTGCTAGATCCGACCCATTTTAATTAAGAGGCAAACATATCCGGCAACATCTGCTCCGGCGATGTCTACAACGACAAAATCGGAGAATCTAAAGCAATTTCTTATTGTACTATCCTCTAGAAATTGAGATCTGAAATAATTTATGTTTCCTTTACATTGTACTCTAATTAATCAGGGTTGGTTGGAATTGCCAATTATGTTTGTTGTTCACAGAACTAATTAAATAATTAATGTAATAAAATGCTATGGTAATGAAATTTATGTCTCTTAAAATCTCTTTACATCTCTGGTTTGAGATTTATGAAAAAGTCTAGTATGAATATAACTTATTTTCTAGGGTGGCGGAGCACTGTCAGCGGGGGGCTGAGTCCCAATTGAAACTAAATTCTTTGATGGAGAAGTTTAGTGGGTTCTTCTAAATTGAAATTCTTTAAGCCAATTGTGTTCTTCAAAATATCCTAGTCGCTGGTCTATTGAATTGAATAACGAAAATGAGGTGAAAAGATGATGTTTGCCTCTTAATTTTAGTGGGTCGGATCTAGCAAAAATGGGTTATAGTTTGAATTATAAATTGGGTCAAAATTTAGTGGGTATCCTAGTTGGCAAGCTTAGGTGGCGGAATTAGTGTCATGTGGCGTGCCACATCACTACTGTTAACTCTTGAGGGTATTTGTGGTCTCTTAAGATAACGGCGGGGTATTTTTGATCCCAAAATGTAATGGAGGGTATAAGTGGTCTATTTCACATAGTTCAGGGGCAAGTTTGACCCTTTTCCGTTATATTTATCAAAAAGGAATTAAAGCTGCATTTATCATTGCTAATAATTTTATAGAAAATATTTGCTGTGAAGATGAGGAGAAAATACCTTATATTGGGCTTTTTAAGAGCTTATGATAGATAAACCTTTTTTCTTGTTTTCTCTTTCTATATATATTTTTTTAAAATAAAGATATGGATAACAAAGGCCTTTATTTGGAAAAATTGGGAATGCTTTTAATTCCTGTTGCAGAATAGAAATCTTTGTTTAGCCGCTGTAGGATTCCTAAAGCACCGTATATTTTTTTTTATTTTTGGGTAATACCACTCTCAATTAGGAATATCTGCTGTTCTGTTTGATTTAGTTTTATCCTAAAAGGAAACCAACCAACTATGTTGGTTTGATAAATATACAAACCAAACTAAATCAAATGTTTTTTTTCAGTTTTGTTTTTTTTTTCTTCGATTTTTTTAGTCACGTGAAACACAAATTCAATTCATAGCAAAAGTTAAAATCTCTCAAATGTCAATATATGTTTAGAAATAATCAAGCAGGTAGATTAACTTATCATCTATTGAAACATCCACATATGAGAAGTTCACCGTGAGACATGATAATTATCCACTAACAAAAATTAATAAAACAAATTTACATCCATCTATGCTGCCAAAATTAACTAACCTTAATGATTTAAAAATAATATACAAATCACGCCTAAATAACTTCATTATATGTGAACAGAAAAATCAAGCAAGCATCACGAACATGTTAAGACAAATTTACAATTTTTGTTGTTGTTAAAACTATATAAAGTTCTAAAAGAATATCTAAAAATTGATATCTATGTGTATGGAATTATACAAAATCCAATTGATACAAGTCAAAGGACAAGTTATTTCAGTCAATTTGGTTTGTTTTTTAGTAACACCTAACTCTCTTTCAAAGTTCCAATACTGCAGTTTGTATGTGTTTGAGAAAGGCTTCCAACAGTTGATAGCTTTAGCATGGCCTTAGTTATGAATGTTTGTCAAAGTTTTGTTGGTGACATTTGTACTTGTTTCCTCTGTTGTTAATTGTGTATCTCCTCTTTTGCATCAATGATATTTTCTTTTCCATAAAAGGAATAGAATTGGATGAATTTCTGAAGACTAAGCTCAAATATGAGAGAAGAAGAAAGAAGAAATTGTATTCAATAATCCTCACTGAATCAATCTTTACAGAGTATCAATACAACCATATTTATAGTGTGAACTCTAACTAACTCACTTAGTTAATTCTAACTTAACCATAGTTATCTTTGTAACAGAATTACTAACTAACTTCATGACATTACTGTTCACAATGTAACTAACTCGTATGGAAGCTTCTACACTATCACTACATTCAACACCCTTCCTCAAGCTGACGGCTGGAAAATATCTTTCAGACTTAGCTTGGACATCAAGTGTGAGTGAGGAGCTTTCCATAGACCTTTTGTGAGCAGATCAGCTAGCTGGTCTTTAGTTGATACATGATGAGTCTTGACCATTCCCTGTAGTATTTTTTCTCGCACAAAATAACAATCAATGTCAAAATGTTTAGTTCGTTCATGAAATATCGGATTAGCTGCAATCTGTATAGCAGCCTTGCTATCACAGAATAGATTCACTGGTTGCTTGATAGTTACTCCTAATTCTTTATAAATTCCAATAAGCCAAGTTATTTCTGCAACTGCTGAAGCCATACTCCTGAATTCAGCTTCAGCAGAGCTCCTTGCAACTGTTTCCTGTTTCTTTGATTTCCAAGTAATAATTGCTTCTCCAAATTTTGCCAAATAACCTGTGACTGACTTTCTTGTTTGCACACAAGTTCCCCAGTCAGAGTCACAATAGATTGTTAAGTTTCCTGAGCTTTGAGCTGGCATAAACAAACCTAAACCAGGTGCTGACTTGATATACTTGACCACTCTAAGAGCAGCCTCCATATGTGACTGTTTGGGAGCATGCATAAACTGACTTAGAGTTTGTACTGCAAATGAGATATCCACCCTGGTCATTGTTAGATATAGTAGCCTCCCTACTAGCCTTTGGTACCTTCCAATATCTTCTAAGGGCATGTCTTCTTCTGTAGATTTGGATCCTTGCACGTGAGAGTCAAACTCAATTGATGTGAGCTTGGAACTTGGATCCAAAGGTGTATAGACTGGTTTGGCTCCACTCAACCCCATCTCAGAGATCAATTCCAAAGCATATTTTCTTTGGCTCATCACATACCCTTCCTGAGACCTAGAAAATTCAATCCCAAGGAAGAATTTCAGTTCCCCCAAATCCTTCATTTTGAACTTAAGCTTCAAGTCATTTCTAGTTTGAATTATCAGATCATTGCAACTACCAGTCACTAAGAGATCATCAACATATACCAGCACTACTATCAGGTTTTGATCTACATTCTTAGTAAAAAGAGAGTAATCATAGTGACTTTGAACAAAGCCTAATTGAACTAAAGCTTCAGTCAACTTAATATTCCAACACCTTGGCGCTTGCTTCAAACCATAAAGTGACTTATGGAGTTTGCAGACTTTCCCAGACTCCGCCTGCCTGCAAAATCCAGGAGGAATAACCATATACACCTCCTCAGGAAGATCACCTTGTAAAAAAGCATTGTGCACATCCATTTGAAATATAGGCCAGTGCTTAGCAGCAGCAATAGCCAATACTGATCTGACAGTGACCATCTTTGCAACCGGAGAAAAAGTCTCTGAATAATCCAACCCTTCTTTCTGATTGAACCCTTTGGCCACAAGCCTAGCTTTATACCTCTCAACAGCCCCTGAAGCTAGATACTTAACCTTAAACACCCATTTACAACCAATAGGATGCTTGCCTGGGGGTAGATCAGTAATGGTCCATGTCTGATTGTCCTCTAGAGCAGATATCTCTGATTTCATAGCTTCCACCCAAAGAGGATCAGAAGCAGCTTCAGTAAAGGATGTAGGTTCAACAATGCTGGAATAAGCAGCTAAGGCATGACCATAGGCAGGTGAAAGATTGGCATAGCTGACATGATTGGATACTGGATAAACACAGCTAGTTATGGGCTGAGAAGTAAGGAAATCTTGCATCCATATAGGAGGTCTACTGGTCCTGGAAGATCTCCTAACAGGAGGAGGGACATCAGGGATACACGTAGACTCAGAAATAGGACAAGAAGGGGTTGTAGGAAGAACAACAGTAGGAAGAGAATCAGCATACAATTCTGAAAACTTGAGGACAGGAAATATAGGAGAAACAGTAGAGTTAATATGCTGGAATGGGAAAATATCTTCATGAAACATCACATCCCTGCTGACTAGAAACTCATGTGTGTGTAAAGACCATAATTTGTACCCCTTTTGTAAGGCTGAATAGCCGAGAAACACAGCTGGAATAGCCCTGGAGGCAAACTTATCTACCTTCCTTACTTCTGTAGCAAAAGCCAAACAACCAAATACCTTTAAATGAGTTAAAGGAGCAGCAGTTTTAAACAGAACATTGTATGGAGTTTTCCCTGTAAGTACAGTAGAAGGAATTCTGTTTATAAGATACACACTTGTAAGGACACATTCACCCCAAAACTTGAGTGGCAGACTTGCTTGAAACCTTAATGCTCTGGCAGTGTTTAGGATGTGTCTGTGTTTTCTCTCAACCACTCCATTTTGCTGTGGAGTATAGACACAAGAACTTTGATGAAGAATGCCTAGGGACAGTAATAAAGTATCTACCTGTGAATTGAAAAATTCACAACCATTATCTGTCCTCAGAATCTTTACTGTTGCTGTGAACACATTACTGACCATAGTAAGAAAATCCTTGAGAGCTACAATCACCTCTGATTTAGAATTGAGTAAGATTAACCAAGTATATCTAGAACAATCATCAACTATGGTTAGAAAAAATCTCTTTCCATCATGAGTAGGCACTCTGTAGGGACCCCAGACATCAGCATGTAAAGTATGAAAACAAGTAGAAGTTGTGGTATGACTCAATGGAAAAGAAAGTCTGGATTGTTTAGCTAATGGACATACAGTGCAGGATACATCAGACTTACAAGATACATTGTGAAAACAACCAAGTTTTTTTAGAGTAGCTATTGGTACATGACCAAGTCTCCTATGCCAAAGAGACAAATTGCTACTGTTAGCAGGTATTACAGAATCAGACTTAGAAACAGCTACTACATTAGCTATAGAGGACTTCAATGGAGCTACTTGTGACTTCAGCTGACAATCAACCTGAAGAACATATAGATCATCCTCCAACTTGCCAATCCCCCTCACCTTCCCACTGGAGAGGTCCTGAAATATACAAAAGTCAGGATAAAATAGCACACCACAGTTTAATTCCCTTGTTAACTTTGGTACAGACAGCAGGTTGTACTTGAACTCAGGAATATGAAGTACATTATGTATACCAACCCCTCCCAAAATCTGTGAAGAACCAGTGTTAACAACCGTAGCTAAACTACCAGTTGGCAAATGAACTCTCCCTTCTTGTGAGGCATGGATTGATGTAAATTTGGTTAGCAGGTTAGAGTTATTGACCATGTGTTTAGATGCTCCAGAATCTATAATCCATTTAGCATCAACAGGAACTTGAGTAGGACTGTTGGTCATACCTGTTGCCTTCATAGTGGTGTTAGTGTTAGTCCTTCCATTCTCCTGATCAATGGACTGCGAGGACTGCATGTATTGTTGAGGAGTAGGAGGATATGCCCACGGTGTGGATGGATATGGATATGGCTGCAGATTAGTCATAAGAGCAGGAGAAGAACCAGGGTAAAACATACCAGTACTGGAACTTGGTTGAGAAGATCTCTGCTGCATCTGAGATCTGCCTGCGTTTGTATCACCAATACCAGTTGTGAAAGGACCCTGGCCATCAACCACTGAACCAGATGGAAAATCCATGTGACCTCCATTATGCTGATTAGAGACTCCCCTTGCAAGGTTAGCAGCTGTAATAGGTCCAGGGCTAGTTCTTCTCTTGCCCTTCCAATTGGTTGGATAACCATGTAACCTAAAACAAACAGCTCTAGTGTGACCCTTCCAGTTACAATAGTCACAATACAGATTACTGGTAGACTGTTTTTGAGGTTTGAAATTGGATCCTGAGTGAGGTGAATGGCCTGTTGCAGATGCAGAGTAGGAATCCCTCCCATGACTGAAAAAAGCCATGGCATCGGGTAGCTGTCCAGAGTGAGTAGTCTCAGTACTGATCATATTGGATTTCCCAAGAACTCTTTGACATTCTTCAGCCATCACTAAGGAATAAGCCTTGTTCACACTTGGTGTAGGATCCATCATCATAATCTGACTTCTACATTGATTGTATGATTCATTCAATCCAAGGAGAAATTGCATCAACCTCTGATACTCAAAATGAATAGCATAGGTTTTCGACACTTCACATTCACAACTAGGACAGGGCATAAGAGAATCAATTTCCATCCAAAGCTCCTTAAGCCTAGAAAAATAGCTAGCTACAGATGAGACTCCTTGAGTCAATGTAGCAATTTCCTTGTGTAGAAAAAAAATTCTAGATCCATCAACTTTGTTGAACCTCTCTTTGAGATCAACCCAAACTTGATGAGCACTACTAGCATATACTATTCCACTAAGAAGCTCCCTACTAACAGATATCATAATCCAGGAGAGAACTATTGCATTACACTTCTCCCAGAGATCATGTTGAGAGGCTGGGAACAGAGTTTTTGAGTACCTTCCATCAACAAACCCTAACTTGCCTTTGCCTAATAAGCCTATTTTCATTGATCTGCTCCATAAGGAGTAATTTTCAGATCCAGTGAGTTGAATAGAAACTAGAGAGCTACCTGGTGTATCACAAGCTTGGAGATATAGTGGATGATGTGCATCAATCACCATTGTACCACTCTGAGCTGTGTTGGTAGGAATCTCTGAGTTTTGATCAGGTGCCATTGATGAAGACCTGTAAGCTGAAATTGTTATACACGATCTGAACTGCTAAGTGAACAATGCAACAATCTTCCAGATGCACTGAGAAGCAGTGAGATCTTCAACAAAACTCCTTGAGCTCTGATACCATGAAGACTAAGCTCAAATATGAGAGAAGAAGAAAGAAGAAAGAAGAAATTGTATTCAATAATCCTCACTGAATCAATCTTTACAGAGTATCAATACAACCATATTTATAGTGTGAACTCTAACTAACTCACTTAGTTAATTCTAACTTAACCATAGTTATCTTTGTAACAGAATTACTAACTAACTTCATGACATTACTGTTCACAATGTAACTAACTCGTATGGAAGCTTCTACACTATCACTACATTCAACAATTTCCTTGTTAATAGAGGTTGAACAAAGACAATGTTTAAAGACAAACAAACACAAAAATATTTGCCTTTATGTGGTTTCTTAAAAATTGAATGACCACAAATGTACAGAGTTAATGTTGACTTTTTGAGTACTTAAGTTTGGTTTTGGTCTTCTGAAATGGCTGCAGGAGTTATCATGAATGACGAGACTGTGCATCAGTTGTGCAAGCAGGCAGTTGCTCAGGTTATCTTCTATTTCATATGATAATGTTTCTTCACAACAGACAAGCTTCCATCACTGTTTCTACTCTTGCTTGTATACATATTTTCATTTTGACCTTTGTTGATGCACCATTTTTCGTGTTCTTTGAGAATAATTTCTATAGTGCTGGCTGAGTTATTGACTTGAGAAGTTGAGATATTTTTCTTACTTTTGCAAGTAGTGTGACCTTACCGAGAAAACTATTCCACATGTCTTTTGCTGGATTCAGAGGCTGATGGATATATATCTAGTTGAAGAACAATTATTATTGATGGCCTGGTTCTCTTTCTTTTTATTGTTTTTATTCCTTTCTTTACCTACTTCTGTTTCTTTTAAGACTGAACGTGATTGTAGTCATTATGATTACTAAGTATAGAAGTTTGCAATCCCAAAAAGGTTAATTCATCCCAAGTGGGGATACAGCAACATTGATGGAGTAATGCTGGTCATGCAGGAAAACCAGCCAGAGTGGGTGTAATAGGTTGAAGGCAATGACGCTGCAGATTTGGGTGGGTGGGTGGGTGGGTGGGGGTATTGTATTAGGGTGAAAATTGGGAAAAAAACACCATTTAGTTTTATTTTAAGCGGTACCACATGTAGTACTGGATGTCACTCTGAAATTAACTTTCAAACAGTGCCATGTTAATAACTTCACAGGGGAGTGTCTGTCTGAATACTACTCTCGAATCTTCAATAACTAGGCCATTAGCTTGCAAACTAAGTCATTTCGTTGTCAGTCAAACCAGGTGGTAATAACACTTCTAGGGTTCTCAATTACTGCTCTTATGTATACTTGTTTGTCTGCGTATCCACAAGAATCTGAACCACAACTTGCAAGTTCAATATATCATCATAGAAGCCCAGTAGGACCTCAAACAACAGAAAAGAAGAAACTAGCTGCGAAAAAACACTGCCTTCTTACTTTTAAGAAAAAAACAGGAGTAACCAAATTACAACATTGAATAAAATATCCTAAAATATGATTTAGTTCAGTAATCTTTCCAATTGATGATGCTAGCTCTTGAACTTGGTTTGTCGTTGAGAATAATGAATATAAAGCTTTTCTAAATTAAAAGCAGGTATAAATCAGGTGTCTGTTCATTTTCCCTTTGCTCTTTTATGCTTGCATGCATTTTGTTGATAATTTTTTTTATCAAAATGTAGTGTCTGATCTTGTTATTTCCTCTTCTTTTATCGTAGGCCAGAGCAGGAGCAGATGTTGTCAGTCCGAGTGACATGATGGATGGTCGTGTCGGAGCAATTCGAGCAGCTCTTGATGCTGAAGGATTTCAGCATGTGTCGATCATGTCCTATACGGCAAAGTAATTTTCAAAACTCATAAGTTCTGTCAATGTAGATATTATATATAAGTCCTGGAAATATTTAGTTGTTTGCATATAGATTCAGTATTCAATGAGGCAATTTTTCTATGTTTGTGCTTTACCCCTCTTGTATATTGAGAAGTATATCTTACATCTTAGATCAAGCCTAAATGGGTTAGCAGCATCATATGGTGACTTCTCATTTTATTTTTTAATGTAAGCACTCAGAGGTAGCTTAAGATCTGGTTCTTTTCATGTAAGAGAATTTGATGATCAGTCTCTCCAATGGTTCCGGACATTAGTGGTCTAACAACTTAGAACTCGAGCTTTGTTTATTTTTATTTTTTTGCTTTTATGGATTCTTTGATATTGAAACTCAACTTCCATCTCTTTTTTTGACTTGTTAGCTTGAATTATATTTGCAGGTATGCAAGCTCCTTTTATGGACCTTTCAGAGAGGCTTTAGATTCAAATCCACGTTTTGGAGACAAGAAAACGTACTGAACAACAGACTATTATTATTTTCCTTTTATCAAATATCATTCATTATGTAGACAAAATGAGTGTCTGTGAACTTGGTTTTCACATGCAGTTATCAGATGAACCCCGCAAATTACAGAGAAGCATTAGTTGAGCTGCAAGCAGATGAATCTGAAGGAGCTGATATTCTTCTTGTTAGTAACTCATTTGTTGTTCTGCAGAAATTTGGAAATATACTATTCTTCTAAAGCTGCTGCTTCTTCTTCTTCTTCTTTTTTTTTTTTTTTTTTTTGCATATCAGGTGAAACCAGGTTTGCCTTATTTGGATATTATTAGGCTTCTTCGGGATAAATCTCCTTTGCCCATAGCTGCCTATCAGGTACTCAGATGTTCATTTCGTTTGTTTTTCATCATCTTTTTATAAGTAATCAAAGATTTTATAAATGTTTGCACTAGCCAGTGCGAGCAAACATAGCTACTGATTGTGCAGATCCCCTCTTGTATCTAAAATTGCATCAACATCCTGTACAATAACCAGGTTGCACCAAAAAACTAGCAAAATAATACTGAATATCTTTGTTTAAGGCAATGTAAATTTCTCCTATGGCCTTCAAAAGTTCTTTCAAGCCAAAAGTCCACCAAATGGCTTGAGGGATGCAATGGAACTCTAGTTTGTGCTTAAGAAGAGTTACTTCATATAACAATTCTCAAAAAAAAAGAAGAGTTACTTCATATTCAGCATTGTCATTTAGATGAGTTGCAATAATAAGTCCAACAAGTTCACTCAAGGCTTCCGATGCTTCTGTGTGACAGATTTGAGATCTCTTCAATTTACTTGCACGTTATTTTCTTTCTTGAACAATATATTTGTCACGAATTTTGGAATCTGAAACCTTTGTACAGTCTAGACTTGAGTTATTGCTCTGCAGAATTCAGGAAGATTTCTGGGGCTCTATGCTCTCAGTATTTTTCGTCAACGCTGCACTTAGTATTTCTGACTCTTGCCCGTTTGTTTACAAGCATAAGGGACTCTGAGGGTAAAGAAAGCTCTTTTTCTTGATAAATGGCCCTTGCTTCCAAATAGATCTAAATGCTTTGCCAGGTGAATGATTTTAATGAATGATGCATTAAGAGTTTAAGATTTTGTTTTTGCAGAACTGTTGAATTGTTCAGTTCGGTTAAATATAACAGTTTGATAAAGTAGCACTGGTGTATTGAATATACTTGCTAGTGGACTAATTCACACATCATCAACCATCATAGAGAAGGCATCTTTCAATCGTCATGCAAATTGGGAGTCTATTAAACAAAAAATGGAACTTGTGACATGACATATCTTCATTAGAAACTCATTTCCATATTCTTTATATGATACCCTATCATCATCTTCTTTTACAGTTTCTGGTATCTGAAAATGAATTTCTGCCAATATCCTTGAACACTAGTTTTCGCCTTCATTTCTACGCTATCGTCTTCTACAGTTTCTCGGGTTTCTTTCTTCACAGGTTTCAGGTGAATACTCAATGATTAAAGCAGGAGGGGTTCTGAAAATGATTGATGAAGAAAGGGTTATGATGGAATCATTGATGTGCCTTCGGCGAGCTGGTGCTGACATCATTTTGACCTATTTTGCTCTGCAAGCCGGTAGATGCATGTGTGGAGAGAAGAGGTAAAGCTAGCCGGATCATAAAAGGAATTCTTGTACGAAGAAGATTTTCTAGTGAACTTTGTAAATTAGTTGATGTGAGCTTTGATTTAAAAAAGTAGCAGAACAACTTATGTTAGTCGAGGGTCAATGGAAACAACCTCTCTACCTCACAAAGGTAGGGCAAGGTCTGCGTACATCCTACCCTCCCCAGACCCCCACTTGTGGGACTACACTGGGTATGTTGTTGTAATTGATTACGTTGCGTCTCTATTGTCTAATTTTCTTGGTTACTCATGAGGTAAATTTATTTAGATTATTTGATGTGAGCTTGATTTAGAGGAGAATTTGTTCTCTTTGTAACCATTTTGTTCATTTCCTAGCTCAACATTTGAAGTTATTAATAAAAAATCAAAAAAGATCAGTTAATTGTTTCAACCTCCACACATGGTATGTTGTTGTTGTTGTTTTCCCCACATTGGCAGTGCTACCATATTTTGATAAGTTTCCTTAAAGTCAATTGTTTACTTTTCTAGGTTGTCATGATGCTCCACACCTTTAACTTGATATTAGAAATGGACATAATTCAACAGCAAATCAGTAAATTCCATAGGCTTTTGTGTTTTGGCTCCTTTCTTCTTTTATTGTTGATAAAAGGTTGATATAAATCATAAATTGGGATGGACCTTACTTTGATATTATGAATCACGCGGATGTAATTCAATCCCAAAAGTTGGTTCATGAGGTGAGAATTATTCAAGAACATACGAGAAGATCAAATAATCCACCGCTCACCGATGTGGGAATTCACCAATTTTGTCACAAATATCTAAAAATCATCCCTGCAACTTTTTCGAGAATATTGTGAGAAAATAATTTAATTTGAGACGTAGGATATATACTCTTGTTGAATATGCTTAATTTGTTGTGTTATGTATGATTGTCACATGCAGGCACATTAAAGATCACTTTTAGAGATTATGGATTGATATTTATTGTTCACTTGTGACAGCCAAAAACAAGGCCATGAGAATGAGATAATACAAACAAAAAAATGCAGAAAACCAAGTACATACATGTGTGCCTCACTATTTCAACATGTTGGGACCTTTTTCCTTTCCCGTGTCCGATATCTACGTTGGAATTTGATATTCTGAATTTGCACCGCATAGGCCTATTCTGGGGAAGCGCTCCCTACCAAGAATTTTTCGGGACTTTTTTTCTTTATTACTTGTAATTTGTTTTTGTAGGTATGAATCCTCTACCCCGCTTCTTCCCCTTCTCTTTCGAACTCCGAAAACCAAGGTTCGACTTGCATGTGTTAAGCATATAGTCTGAGTAGCATGATGTTCACTTCTTAGCGCTTAGGCCACTACCTAAAAGTAAGCTTTTCGCTCTTTTCCTCTTACATAACAACGATGGAGGAGATAGTAAGCACGACTTTCTACGCAACGATTTCTTCTTCTCTTATGATTTCTCAAGTTACAGGGGGGAGACCAAGAGAGTAGATTGGCTGGTTTTTCCAGTCAAGTATAGTTGATAATCCCATTTTCGAATATGAATTTGAATAGATTCTCTTTATTATTATAAATATAGCTTTTTTATCTTCCACCCTATCTCCACAGCTTTGGGCGACCCCCTCCCCTTCCTCTTTTTTTTCGTTTCAAGCATGGACCTTAACTTACCGAACTGGCTTAGTAAAGTAGAAATCATTAGCTGTCAACTGTTCATAGTCAGCAGTGGAAGAGGGCGTAGCTTTGATTGCTCAAGTTGCCCTCTCATGGTTGAATGTGAAAAAGAATTTCTTTTGTTTAGCAACAGTCTTATAAGGATGATGCTTCCCCTGTGCCTTATTAATTAGAATTGTTGTAGTAATTTTTTAAGTAATTTAATAATGTAAAAAGAAAATAAAAAATTACACCATCAATATGTAAAAGTTAAAACTTTTTTTTTAATTCTTCTTTTTTTTCCTCCTCCATTCCATATTCCTGATTTCCAATTACTTTGTTGAAAAGAGGAAATGGAGGGGAAGGGGAGAGGATGGGGAAAATAATAAAACAAGTATAAATGTTAAAGTTAATTCTAAGATGACGTAGACTATATTATTTTATTAAATTGAATAATAGTGCATTTAGAGACGTGGATTATATTAACAATCTTGAATTATTATAATGAGAAAATACAAAATTATGAATAGGATTAATTAATAATATAGTATTATATTTTTAATCCAGAAAAATTGTTCAAGCCCATTCCTTCAATCGTACCTCATAGGATAAAATAATCATGTTAAAGAATAATTATGGTATGACAAGATCAGATTAGTTAGTTTGATGTGACAAGAATAATTTTAATTTTCAAAAAGTATTTTTTTTTCCCTTTAAAATCATAAGAAAAAGCTACAAATATCGAGCAAGAAATCAAATACTTATATAACCTTTTAAATTACGATAGTACTTGAAGTTAAGTTTAATCAGACTTAAATACTTATATTAGCTATCGAACTAGAATCCAAATAGCAACAAAAACATCAAATTAATGGACAAAACATATATGGCCATATGCCCATATGTAGTGTGGTAGTTAGAAAAATTATAATCCCCTTTCTTATGTCGTTTTGTAATATGAATTTCTTCTAATTAGTTATTAGTACTTCTCAATCTTATGTAAGATTCTCCCACAATTATAAAAAGATGATGTCAATTCATTTTCCAAACAAGTGTAGGGCACAAATTAGAGGAGATATGCTGTCATTTGATGTTTTTATTATAGTGGTGCATGCATGTGACTTCTTTAGTGCTTTCTTCATCCCTAGTCACTAACTAACAACTTCCTATATTTGTTTTTGCCTTTTTACTACTTTTATTTTTTTTATGTCAAATTGAATGTTTATTTTGTGTTGTCTTTATAACAATCCCAATTCACTTTTTGCTTCTTTGGGGGAATATTATAAATTTAATTAGAGATTTGTATGCCATGTTGGAATAAATACAAGATTTAGATTACTTTTACTTCTACAACACAACAATAAAAATTAAGTACTATTTATTGAATTGATGAGAAAGGAAAAAATAGTAGTGTTTTCACATTTCAGTATTTCAATGAAAATCTGTTTCCATCATGTATTTTTCAGTGAATTGATTTGGTGAAAAATTTACTGTCACTTCACAAATTAAATATTAGTCCATTTGAAATAGTTTAAGTGAAATTAATTAGTACTACTATTTATATAAAGTCTCACTAAAACTTTCAAAAGAAATAACATAAGAAATAATGGATAGGTTGATCAGTAGAAGTCAGTTTCTTCACTTAATCCTTCTCCTTCTTCTTCTACTCTCTATCGTGTCCAATAAAAGTTGTATTAATGCTCAGCTCCATCGCGATTTTTATCGGAATTCGTGTCCGAACGTAGAGTCCATCGTCCGATCAGCAGTTGAACAGAAGTACAGACAGACCATTGTTACAGCAGCTGCAACTCTTAGACTCTTCTTCCATGATTGTTTTATTCAGGTATATATAAATTAAAAAAAATAGGTTCATTTTATTGCGTCTTTGTAACAAACCGTTATGTATGCACCACCCTCCCAGACGCGACTTGTGAGATTACACTTGTAATAGTATGAATTAATAGTGTGTATGATAATGTCAGGGTTGTGATGCTTCGATCATACTGAGATCCTCAGGAAATAACACAGCAGAAAAGGATCATCCAGACAATATATCACTTGCTGGAGATGGATATGACACTGTTATTAAAGCTAAAGCTGCAGTTGATAATGTTCCTGCTTGCAAGAACAAAGTATCATGTGCTGATATTTTAGCCATGGCTACTAGAGATGTTGTTGCATTGGTAAACTATACACTCTTTACTTGTGTTTCTTAGATGTGACTATACTCAAAGACGAATAATCTAGCTAATAGTTGAGCATTGGATGTATGTGTAGGCAGGAGGACCACATTATGCTGTTGAATTAGGAAGAAGGGATGGCAGAGTTTCTTCAAAAAATAGTGTACCTAACAATTTACCTCACTCTGAGTTTCACTTGAAGAAGCTCCTTCCTATGTTTGCCTCTCGTGGTCTCTCTATCAGACATTTGATTGCCCTCTCTGGTACATTACCCATCTTCCTATTTCTTCTTTCTTCATTGGCAAAAGATACTAAAAAACTATCACGATTTATGCAGGAGCACATACACTAGGATTTTCACATTGCAACCAGTTCTCAAGCAGGATATACAGCTTTAACAGCAAACGCAAGGTTGATCCAACAATTGATCAAGTCTATGCTAAGGAACTCCAAGAAATGTGCCCACAGAATGCATCTCCTGGAGTAGTTATCCCCTTAGATCCAGATACCCCTCAAGTTTTCGATAACATGTATTTCAAGAATCTTCAGAGGGGGAAAGGGTTGTTCACTTCAGACCAGACACTGTATACTAAAAGGGGATCAAGGAATATAGTCAATTTGTTTGCATCAAACAAGACAGCTTTTGAAAGGGTCTTCATTGCTGCCATGACAAAGCTTGGAAGGTTCGGGGTCAAAACTGGAAATCTTGGTGAAATTCGAAAAGATTGTGCTGTAGTGAACTAAGTAAACAGAATATAGAGTAGATTCTAGGACCATTGTGCATCACTTGTTTCAAATTCCAATAATTTCACAATAAGGTTTAATATCTGGTTAATGAAGATTCTAAGTAGGTAAAAACTGACTTACTTGCAGCTTTCCCTTGCCCCTCACAGAAGCACCTACAACTGCTGCAACCCCACACAGGAAAAAAGAAAGGAAAACACACACACGAGGTCTCTCCTCATCACCATGTAAAACTTAAAACTGAGATCGAAAAGATACATTCAATAACCAAATGGACCAGTATAAATGATTTAAACAGTGTTTTCTCAATCTTAGAGAACAAATGACTATATGAGTAAGTTCAGTGAAAGTCGAACCTAAGACATGTGAAAGATGGCAGACCTGACAAACGACTTACAACTAGCTGTACCACTTCCATCCCCTTAACCAAATCCCACCCCGCAATCTTCTAAACTTTGCTGCTAAATGAGAAGTAAACAAGAATTATCATTCTAAACTACAGCACCCAGTGTTGAACAACTATAAGAACAAAAGAATTAGCATTTACAACAGATGCTTAGGCACCAATAACAGCATCCAATTAATGGAACTTCTCAAAATTATGGCACTTCTATCCATGCCACAAATGTATTGTGGACAATTCCTTCTCGCTAGATGAACCCAGCCAAAAGGACACAAGTTTATCCAAGATTCCTTCAAATATTGAAACCCTGGAAAAAACTCCCAGCTTGTTCTATTGTGACGAGGGGGGTACGATGATTTTTTCCAGTTTATTGTCAACATCTGAAGAAGCTCTCTGACAATGTTGAAAGAGAAAGCTATGCAGTGTCCCCTTGTGGTAAAGAATTAGACCTCTAGAAAACTTAAAAAGGGGCTAAATGGGAAAACAATCATAATATATAATTTTGACACAAGTAATCTTCTCTGAATTCTTGTAGGAGTTATCCAACTTCTTCCTTGACACTTAAGAGGTTCTATTTCAGCTCATCCATAAGATTTACTATCTAAGCCCAGGCTCTAGCTATTGCTGATAGCTGATTGTTGCTCCAATCACATTCAACAGGGACAGCAGAATCTCCATTCCCAAGGTGACTTGATTCCCCAGATTTACAAATGGTTAGTCTCATTAAGAGAAATTGCAGCTTGTTCAATTGACACATTACTAGACTCGGAATTTTTTATTTCCACATTAGTATCTTGGTCATCCATATCCATGTGGTTTTCACCAGACAATTCAGGCTTGGTACAGGCATTTGTCAGACCATTAAGTGTGCTATTGCAAACTTTCCGTGAGACATCTTTCTTGGCACATTGGTTCAATGGACGTTTCCCAAGAAACCCAGGGGAAAACAGTGGCTTCGACTTTGCTCCAGAGAAACTCCCTCCACGTGATTTCAGGACCACATTGTGGATTCCATGAGATGATTTTTTTTCTTTCTGGTTAGCTATTGACGCAGAGGATGAAGCATCATCCAGAATTTCACCATTTGTAGCTACAGAATCCTCCTTAAAAGAAGAATTCAAAAGACAGTCATTGGTGGTTCTTTGACATGGTTCAGTATCATCTTTACTGTCAGAAACAGGGGATATTGTTTCACATTCTTGAATGTCAGCTTCAGCCGAAAAACTACCCCCAAAGGAACTACTGGATACCACTCTAGGGAAAGAAGTTCCTATAGCTGCAGTGTATGGTTTAACATCCTGCAGCTCCTGCTGGACATGAGAACTTGCCACAAAATCTACCTCCTGATCCTCCATTCTGTCCTCGGGGTTGGTCAAGGAGAATAGCTCCTCTTTGTCCCCAATGATCTTAGATTCTGAACCATTAAGAGTTGGCGGTGAAAAAGAATTAACAACTGTAGCCGGGGACCCCGTTTCACTGAGACATTCAACATGTTGGTCTGTGGACCCCGGTTTGTCTTCCACTGTAAGTGTATCTTGGTCTTCTTTCTCTAAAGGTCCAAGAGGAAATAAGGATGTTCGCCGAGGGTAGATCCTGTCAAAAGCAAACGCGAATCAAGATCATTCAATACAACATGTTAAATAGACGTGATATAAAGATGACGGATCAATCAGATCATGGTCTAAAGAAAGTTACCTGCTATATAAGAGCATGTATGCTCCTTGAGAAAGCACTTCATCCAAATCAACATTAACCACCTAACAAAATTTGTAAAATAAGTCGCACATGAATATTTAAAGTAATAAATGAAAAGATATGAAAAGGAAAAATAAATCGTCTATATGAAGGATTATGCTGCTTGAGGTAGAATATTAAGTGATGACCTTTACTAAGGCTCATGCACTTTGACATTATTAATTTATTTTGAAATTGGTACTGTTGTATACCTCAGCATTAAGGGGTGCTAAAGACCATCAAAAGGCACACAGAACATATTACAGAAGGGAACAAAGACCACCTATAATCTCATCTGTATCTTCTATACATTGTACTTTACACCAAAAGTAAAATGATATAACACAATTCCACTTAACTATTTGTTGCAGACTCAAAAAACATGAGATTCAATAGCCAAATAGAGAAAATGGCGTCACATCCTCACATACTACATGACACGGACAATTTCTGAAAGGTGGCACAACAAAGGGAGGTGCCAATATTATCTGTTGGTCATGCTTTTTATTTGTGTATACATATATACCCAGGCAAGTTTGTATACAAGCTAAAAACATGGAGTAGATTCCAATCTAAAGAATAGACACAGTATATTTCTCAGATTAGATACATCTACTAAACCGCCTTAAATCTCTAAGCACAAAACTAAAAGAAGCATAAGTTTCCTACAGCTTCATTTTTTACTTACAGTACATTATCTTGGGAATGGGCATGTATATGATATGAGTGGGCAGTTTCAAATAACTTTTAGTGCATGCACAAAATACCCTAAGCATGTCACACCCATCTGACACATGTACATCAAGGTAAATGAAGGAGCCAACAAATAAGACAAAATTGAGATATGAGAGAACACAACTAGCTTGTAGCCAAAATGCTTCTTCAAGAGAAAGTAGTAATATTTTTATTGTTCAAACAGATCTATCGAGGCAAATATAACACTTCACCGCATATAGCAACTTATATAAATTTTAAAGCTTCAGAGATGCAGTGTAGATTATCAGCACAAAAGAATATAAATGAAAGTCCAACATGCCAAATTCAGCAACCAACCAATGCATTTTGTGCATTGGGACAGCATACAACAATAAACAAGAGGGTGTAGAGAAAATGAGATGTTTCTACCTTGCAGTCATCGATCCGGTACCAACTTCCACGAAAATCCTTGATATAGCATATGTAATGGCCGAAAAATGACGCATTCAACATATCCACGTGAACAATAACTGCATATAGCTTGTAAATATCATTGCCGTCTCCTGTTTCACTCATGTACGGATGGAGATCTAGTGATTCGGGGAAAGTCACTCTCTTATTTAATTTGCCAAACCTACCACTCTGCATAGAGATTTTGGACATAAATAAACAAAACTAGCAGAAATTTAGAGCACAAACTCACAGAGTTGCTTCCAAGAATAAAATGGAACTTAGGGGGTGAGGAATGTTAGTAGAGAGAAAGACAGTCCTTAGTTATTGTAATTCACCCAAGAATAAAATGGGATTTAGGGATGACGAATGTTAATAGAGAGAAAGACAGTCCCTCAGTTATTGTAATTCACCCAAGAATAAAATAGAACTTAGGGGTGAGGAATGTTAAAAGAGAGAGAAAATCCCTGATTTATTGTAATTCACTCATCCCATAGAGAAATGCAATTCTATTTCACAGTTCTAAAAAAAAAATATAATAACAACAATTAGAAACACTACACTTATCCTTTTGCTTTACAAGCTAGGGTATGCTTGGTATCCATACAAACTGAACTAAAGATAGGGCACGATGGAAGAAAAAGATCATCTAGGTGATAGCTACTAGTTGATTAGCATGCATCCGATTGCCATCAACTTGTGGTCAACTCATTGATTCAGAATCCGGTTGTTGCTGGTTGCTGTTCACACTTTTTTTTCTATCTTTCACTTGAAGGATTGAATGGATTCCTTAAACACGATGGAAGAAAAAGATCATCTAGGTGATAGCTACTAGTTGATTAGCATGCATTCGATTGCCATCAACTTGTGGTCAACTCATTGATTCAGAATCCAGTTGTTGCTGGTTGCTGTTCACATTTTTTTTTCTATCTTTCACTTTAAGGATTGAATGGATTCCTTAAACGGTTCAACTCATTTGAAGTAATTTTACATAGTTGCCATGCGGTTGGCTATTTGTCTTAAATGAAAAGTTAAAAGGCAGTCCACTATTTGTAGTATCTAACATCTGTTATTGGAATATGGCCAAAAGAATCCCACCAGGGAAGAGGATCACCTTGATGTGGGGATGACTTGCTGGAGAGATGAAAATTGGACATGAACCTTTCTTCTAATTCTCTCAAGAATTTTTGGTAATAGATAACATGTTCATGCAGGACTAGTATGACTCACTTTTTTCACAGGAGAGAATAGAGATATAGGTCTTTCACCACTAACTAAAGACGGATAGGTCCTATAAAAAGATCAAGGATCATTCATTTACATGTTTGGAAAAGAAAACTTGTTTAAGGGCTAAAGTTTATAGTTCACTTTACCATAGATGATTGAAGCACAATAAATAGCAAAATGAAACCAACCTGAAACCTTTTCAAGGCAATTGTTAAGATATTTGGTGCCCTCCTGACCATTAGGCGCTTCCATGCTTTGACATAGTCATTGCATCTGCAAGACCAACCGCAGTTGTTGATTAACGATTAGGTAGCACTATCAATCAACTGTGCCTTGATTGGTTGTCAACCAACAGCAATTTAACTAGTGAACTTTAAATAACTCTCACATATGGTAAAATTAAGCATGCCATCCAATAGAATTAATGAATAGGATAAATTGGAAAACTAACATAAAAGTTACTATCCAACCACAATTTTGGAAAATATTTTTTTATGATGTATGTGACAGTTGTCCTCAAATACTCTCGAAATAATAACTAAGTCAAAGAAATAGGACAGAAGAGTGACATATGTCTGTATTAATCCACCATGCTATTAGATACAGATGAACATAAAAATCTGGGAATGGAATCAATCAGCATTGTAAGGTAAACATTAAACTATACATCATTGCTCAAAGAACACAAAAATGGCATTCCAGACTGTAAAAAGGATGCAATTAATCACTGGCATGGGAAACCTCACCCATCACATTTATACAAGTTATCTCCATCAAGCCATTCTCTTGCTGTGAATTGATCTAAGCACTCCTCCAAAGATTCAGCATCCCCATGAATCTCTACTGTCAGATCCATCATATTTTCAAACTGATTTGAAACGTTACTGCATTCTGTACATATGACCTAAAAACAGAAATAACTCATTTAGGAAGAGAAGGAAAGGGAAGAGATCAGAATAATATAAGAGCAAAAACACATATGCAGCTTGACATATCAAAAAACACAAATTACTTGGCAGAATACCTAATCATCCCCTTAAACTTGCCACCGTTGATTCGGTGGATACCTAAATTTTTTGTAGTCCCAGTTACCCTGGACTTGGCTAGCACTCCATTATTTTAGCCAAATAATAAAGGTTTAGCCAAAATAATAGGTTCCAAATGTGTATTTATTTCTATTTGTTTGTTAGACGCAGTGGCTATATTCCAAATATTTCCTTTTTTTCTTTTTGACACAAATCTGTATTGGCAAGAGCTCCATTATTTTTAGCCAAATAAAAAGTTCTAGCCAGAATAAATAATTCCAACTATGTACTTCTCAATGCAATGACTATTTGTTTCAACTATGCATTTCGTCTTTTTCGGGCCAAATGCCCAAATGTGTAAGAAGTTTGATCAAACTCCAATATTTTTAGCCAAATAAAAACTTTAGTCTAAATAATAGAATTCCAACTAATTTCTTTTACCAATTTTATACTGAAAAAGATGATCTTAAAAAAAGGTAAAAGATATATTTCATTTTAAAGAAAAGTGCCACGTAGCAACACTTGTATGTCACTTCCATGGGATGAGATTGTCCAGGGCTAAAGGCTATTAAATAACCAAATCTAGATGGGGTAATCAAGACTACGAATAGTTTAGGTGTGCACGGAATAAACGGTGCCTAGTTTAGGTGGGTAATTTGGTTACTAGCAAAATATTTTGATGATGCAACATTTATAAAGTATATAAATATAGAAAGAGGTTATGATACTTTAGATAGTGACATGCTTATGTCTTCTCTATCATAAATTAAAATTACCTGAGATTGCAGGTGACCACCAAATATGTGCTGAATAAGTGTTGTCTCCTGTGTGTTAGGAGGAACTGCCTTCTCTCCACCGAATTCATCAAGGCACACAGACTGCATCATGTCAATAGCAAACCTACAAAAGAAAGAATCTTTCATTATTTTATGCAACATAGCTTCCGTACATAAAACACGGCTGATTATATATCACAGTGAGCACTATAGCAGAAAATACACATCAGACTTCCTATAAGATACTCATCAAATTTACTTTATGAAAAGAAACATACCTCATAAATTCATGGGCATCCTCCTGCTTACCATACCCGAGATTACCACCAATATTAGGCAACCGTGAAAGTATGTTGATTGGTGAGAAGGGCTGCTGACTCCGACTAGCCCGTTCTACATGGTGTTGAAATTCACAAAGGAAGCACCAACCATTCCGCCTACCTGAGGGAAGAGAGGAAAAAAGTGCATAACATAAAGAGCTATTCCAATTACTTCAAAAAAAGGCGGTAGCTTGTATACTTTCTAAATGGATTTACATTCTCTCAGATGGCCTTTCTCCAACAAGTAGGCAACAAGTGGCTTAGTATATGTCAGACATTGTAGAACCACATTAGCAAAGCAACTGCACAAGAACCAAAAATACATTTAAAATATAGATACAAAAAACAGATGGCATATTAAACAATTCTTGGTGGCTGGAGTGTAACTGAGGGAATACCTGTTTCCACAATTAAGGAGCCCACAAGGTGGGAAACCTGGGCTATCCCAGTTAAAGAGTTCCAAGAATTCCTCATATGGGAAAAGTACCTAAACGATTTAACCAAACTTTGGTCAGGTGTTGTGACATAAATGCATAGTTGTGTAATTAACTAAGACGGCGTATACCTTCTTCGAATGGTCTAGAATCTTAGAGGTTCCACTAGCATGAGTCAGTGAAACAGCAGAAGATTTCCTCCCTTGCAAAGAACTGCCTTTCCCAGATAACTGTAAATCCTTGCATTTAAATTTGTGCCCTGAGTTCCAATGAGATCTCTGGCAAGCTTCAGAGCTATGAGAGGAATAGAGAGAGAGAGAGAGAGTAGAACCAATCAGTAGTGAACCAACACGGCACTCCAGAGTCCAGACTATATAAGGAAAAGGAAAAAAAAAGTATGGTCACCCCTGAGGAATGTTTTTAGAAGTGACACGTGCAAAGCGACAAGGTCAATTGGGCTTTAAGCGAGAAGTGCAACACACACTTTTTTGAAGTGATGAGCACAAGTTACGTCAAATTACAAAAAGGGAAAAGGGAAAAAATTTCCTTGTACTATACAAAATTGATCAAAGAAATTGATCTGTCATAAAAAAAAAATTGACAACATTGATCAAGGTCACAGTTGGTTATACTTTGGATATATTCAAATCCTGCCGTTAGAGAAAAATCTCTACCAATTTATCGTCACATATTGTGTTTATACTGTAAAATAGAAGATTTTGTAAAAAAAAACAGAAGTAACCGTTGTGGACAATAATTGATTGAAGTCAAATTACTCTATCAAGTCGGGGCTCTATATTACAATTTAGTATAATAGTATAGCAGATTGTGCTAGATTGCTACATTATAAAATTAGACACAATAACTGGTCACTGTTGTCACCATAAAGCAAAAGTTATTTTATGGAATCCAAAATTAAAATCTTCGTAAAGATATTGATATTATTGTAGATTGTGTAAACATACAAAAAACCAACTCTGTTTGGGCTTCAGATCCCTGTATATATATATAAAGAGAGAGAGAGAGACATGCTATCATAGATTGTGTATATGTGGCAGCAGGAAGTTGTGCTGTCAAAGGTGAAAAGAGAGGCAAAAAACAATTAAGCTTGTTGAGGCAATAAGTGCATCGCACAAATAAAGCATGGCTCTAATGAAGAAATTATGAATACCTAGATGTAGTTCAAAAATAGTAACTATAAACCCAAATAACGATTATATAGACAAAAGAATAAAGAAAAAACTAAATGTAGGTGAATTACTTATAGTTTAGTCCACTCTCTTTTGAGGCAAACACGTACACCCTACTTTGCACCTAACTTGAGGACTTGAGCACGCCTCAACCGAGCTTTTGACAACAATGGCGAGAAGTTATTTTATATGATCAGGGATCTATATAATAGTATAGAAGAAAAAGCAGAAAAGTATAATCATGCATTTATGACCAACCAAATTGCAGACTCGCAAAAGATTGACCGGTGTGGAGTGTGAACGATAGAACATTGATAAGGTAGTAAATTGTTATGTGGTTAATAATAACATACAAAGTATTATTATTATTATGAAGTTAATAATAATGTACGGATTGTCATATGGTAACTAATAAAACTTGAATTGCTATGCAGGGACTACCTCTTCTAACAGTCTAGTAGTTAATACATGTATTCTTTTTCCATATTCTACCCCCATATAAAACAATACACAATGTATCAGCAATGCAGAGCTTAATCCATAAATCAAGTGCTGCAAGTTTTGTACCAACAACCAAAATACAGGTTTTAAATTAGTAAAGAACTGTTTTCTTGTTCCAAATGAGGGATTGAAGCAAAGTGTGTGTATATGTACAGCTGCCGTCAACACCAATAACATTAGTATTAGCAGAAAAAGTAAAAAAGTGAGAGAAATTAATAATTGTATAGATATTATCACCACATTGTATTTGTGTTTAGGAATTATCATACCAGTACTTAACCATCTTGCAACGAGAGCATTGTTTTTTGGTGACATTACTGCATACGGCGCAACCTTCCGGCGTTGCCGGGTCCATTCTGCGATCACCAAAACCGGCCGTCGGCGAAGCAGAAGACTCAAAATTAGAGTCGTCGTCAACGACAAAGTACTTAGAAGCGGTGCTCTTAACAAGGTAAAGTAGTGTTACAACGACGGCTATGGCCGTCAATACAAATTGCAAGTAGGAATTCAGATCCACTGCTACATGCATTAGAAATTTATACTTTTTCCTACTATGAGAAAAAACACTTTCTTCTTCCTCAGAAAACACCGCTCTCTCATAAATTGCAGCCTAGGGTTTCAATTCCTCCATTGAATTGGACTAATTTGGGGGAATCTCATATGGAATTTAAATTTCTGGAAAAAGAAGGAAGGTCTAATTTATAACTTTTTTCCTTTTTTTTTTTTTGTTCGATTATCAAGTAAGCTAATGTGCACCTTCTCAAAATATAAATAAAACAAAAAAAAAAAAAGACCTATTTATGAAATATCCGTAAATATAATTTTTTATATTATTTATAATTTTAGGATTATGTTTTGAATTAATTTTAGTTTTTCTTTTATTACTCCTTTCCTAAATAGACTCATAATCTTATCATTGAAAGTGAAGGATGTTTACTATTCGAGCAATTTCCTCTTGTCGTGTTTTTCTTTAACTTTAAAGCTAATGAAATAATCTTAATTAAGTAGGAATCTTCTTCTTATTTCCAGAAGTGTCTAGCAAGTTTTAATTATGATTTTTTTTTCCTTTTTAAAAACTAGTCATTGCATAGTCTTTGTTTATTCTTTGCAAAATAAAAGCAATATTTTTTCTATATAAATTGAGCTTTATTTTTTAACCAAAAAAGATTGTTGATAGTTCTAGGAGTAATTGGTATTGGCTAGAGTTAATGCAAATAAAAGTAATATTTTTTCTATATAAAATGAGCTTTGTTTTTTTAACCAAAAAAGATGTTGATAGTTTTAGGAGTGTAATTGGTATTGGCTAGAGTTATTGCAAAAGCAATTTGTCATCATCCGTAAATGTCTCGTGTGATGCACGGGCCCAATAGCATTCTCAATAATTTTCTTTCATTTGGTTTCTTAATTAAATTCCAATCACATATATGATACATAATAATTATAATAATATAAAATAAAAAAGAGAGAAGTACTTGAGAACATTTTGAATTTGATAGGAATTATTAGTTTTATCTTTAAATTATTGACATTCTAAAAAATATTTTTTTATTTGACAAACTTAATTTAGATACACTCATGATCAACCACATGACATAGCAAGTAGTCTCAAACTCTTGTAGGAGCATGTAACTCTTATTAAAAAGCTGAAAGAAGTGTTGAAAATGTCCTAAACTTTGGCAAGAATTTAGGGGTGTATTTCACTCATGTTGCAAGATCGAAAGTTTATTTAAGTTTAACTAGTCGAGTAAAGGGGTGTTTTAAGGCTGTCAATAGTTCGGGGATGAAACCAATCATTCACGTTAAGTTTAAGGGTGTTTTCAATACTTTTCATTATATAAAATACTGCATAAATAAATATATATATATATATTAAAAGTTGATGTTTATACTTAACTAAACATGTATTAATTATATTGACCTAATTTTTTAATGTAGTTTAAAATTTTCCGGCAAAAATCTTCATATAACGCCAAAATTTTACTCTTTATTTTAGTACATATGACATTTTGTGTTTCTCGAAAGATAATTCGATTAATATTTAAAATTAAATTGAATTAGATAACTTAATTTATTAGAATCAAAATTTTCATATTCAAAAACTAAACTTAAGCATTGTAACTTGCACTTTCTTTTTGAGAGATGTCATTAATCGCAGTGTTGTAAATGTAGTTTCCTCCATGTTCATCAATTTTTAGAAGCCGCAAAGGTAAACTAAAAAAATATACCATGCAATTTTATCAGTCATTTTCTTAATTTCAAGTAAATATTAAATAGAGAGCTAAAATTAAAATATTGATCGTAGTAAATATCACCAAATTAGTCATGTGGTCATCATAAATCAAAGGCATGCAACTAAAAGATAAATATCTCATATTTTCAAAAAAAAATGTATTTGTATTTTGAAAGGACAAATTAGTCCAATACAAGAATCTGAACGACAGCTACAATAACTCATTTAGCTAATCAATTAAATTACCTTTTTTATGTGAAATTACAAAAACAGCCTCTAAGGACTTTTCCGTCAATTCCTGGTGACGAGAAGCTCCTCACATTTCCTCTCTTATATGTAGTAGTAAAGTAAAGTAATGTAATTTATATGGTCATATATTAAAAGTAATTTATAGCTTAGGTTAAATTTGAATTTTATTACTTTTTTCAAGTGGGGCATTTTATTCTGGCTTGGAGTCGAAATCAAGACGAAAAAATGTCATTCTTACATTGCATGTCGTGTGTATCACACATCTATACATGAATATACACAAATATACATGAAGATATTCATAGATATATACCTCCTTCCTCCCTTCGAAATCCACCCAATATATCTCTCCACTCAAAATTATTGTAGCATTATCGCCCAAATTAAACCATAAACCCAATACCAATACCCAATCAAAATTTCTTTGCACACAAATGTAGAGGCATGTAAAAATTAAATCGAAAAAAATGCTATTGATTTATTCATATCTGTTTTATGAGTATTTTTTTATATTGGTTAAATAAAAAATCAAACTGTTAAGGATCAAAAATCGATAAAAAATCTAATTAATTTTATTATTAGTTTAACTTATTTAAAAATCAATAATAGAAATAAATCGAGCCAACCTATGCACACCTCTCGACAAACCAAGAAAAGAAAAAATGAGTTGGCCAAATAAAACCCAAGTGACACGGCATTGTTTCAATGAATAGAAATAGAAGAATTGTTTGTTTAGTCGTCGTTTACCTTAAAAGTAGTCGTTTGCGACTATCCAAACACGGAATAACTTACCCAATTTTGACTTTTCTTAGCTGTCTTTCTCGGCATTTTTCTAGCTTCCTTTCATTTTCATGTTTTCCATCTAAATTAACTTCTTGTCTGGTATTGTTTATTAATATCTACTTTTTAATTTTATAATTTCGAAGAGATATTTCTTTGAAATTATATGTGGAAGAGGATGTATATGCTATCCTTCTCATTTTTATTGTCTAAAATAATTTATTCGTTTCAATTTATGTGGTTTAATTAGAAGTATAAATATTAAACTAACTAATTTTTTAATTTATTTATAGAATTATTTTGATTTTTTTCATTTTAATCATATAAGGTTGTAACTTCATCAATTTTATTCCTTTTCTTGTGATGGAAAATAAATTGTCCTTCTCTTTAGGCTGGCCTTTACCTTGCCATTTCCCCTCCCAAAAAGAAAAGGGCTAGAGTAGAATTAGCTCCTTTTGTTTGCACTAATATTAAGATATTTGAAATTTAAAAGCACATATGATCAATGTATGACAATTGATTGTGATGGTGAAGTTGATTAATGCTAGTAGTTTGTGGTAGTTAGCGGTGGTTCTTGTTGTTGTGATGGTGGAGGTGGTTTGTAGTAGAGACTGACAATAGTGATGATAGTGACGGAGAACATGATAATGACATTAAATATAATTATTTTTTGATAGAAATTTTCGAACGCAATTTTTGAAGAATTTCAATTAGTGCGAGATGAATAAATACCGAAAAGTGTAAAGCAATTTGGTACTACACGAAACAACTTTTACTTTCAATAACAAAAATGAAAGAAAGTTAATCTATTCCTAAAATTGTGATTAGTTTCGCTACCAGCTTTTTGATTGCCACCCCTCTGCCTACTCATTCACAATTAGTACCATAAGAACGTCGTCAAGCCTCTATCTCTAAAGGACTTATGCACTCCATGCCTTTCTTATTTTATAAAGTCTCAAAGACTGAATTTAATCGCCAACCTTAGTCAAAAAGCTGAAACCTTTTTCCTTTCTTTCATACATTCTATTGGTCAACAATCAATAAGTGCTACTTAATTCTATTGACATTTGACACTACAATTAAGCGTATAGAGACTATGAATGTCAATTTATGTGGATTCCATTAGCTATTGTTGTTTGTGTTAAACGTAAACGATTGTTGATAATTATTTTTGGCTTTATTTCACAATCATATTATTTTATCCATGTAAAAGAATATTTAAATGTGACAAAGATTTCCTTACTGTGGAAGTATACTACAAATAATTTTTTTTTTTTTATCAAACGTATACTTACATAATTCATGTTGCAAATAATTTTGTATCATTTCCAAACTACCATGCACAGACATTTGAATATATTATGTTAACAATCAATTTAAGAGGGATCTTCTTGAAAGCCAAGAGTTTTATCTCCTAAAAAATTGAGTTGTACTTATTGATTTGATGAAAATCTACTAGTCGTCTATCTTATTATAAATTATTATTTTAAATTACTTGTAAATTTATTAAATCAAGAAAAGATAATTAATTTTTTTTTCTATTTTACTCATATAATTAATATTTTTTTATAAACCTAAACAAGTTTATAAGTTCCAATTTTTTTCTTCTAAAAAGTGAATGAAGGATAAATTAGTAAAATTATCTATCTTATTTATAATTTCTTAATGCAATATAAAGAGAAGCAATAATAACCTATGAAATCTTAATCCTATTAGTATCTCATAAAAATAAAAATTTTCTTTTTTAAAAGTCATCGACTCGAATACAGTGAATCAACTAGAAATTAAAATATAAGAGGAAGAGATTGTCATCGATTATGTTATATATTTTAGTTCCAAAACTTTTTTTTTTTTAATGCAGCTAGCCCACTCTTTGCCCACTTTATTTATTATCAAGCAGCATTATATAATTCCTAAACATCAAAAAAGATTCTACCATTTGGCATTATTTTGCTCGTTTATTATATTTTGGGCAAATCTAATCACTCAACTAACCAATAACAAAAATCGTTAATTTCAATATATACATACAGGTAAAGGGTAGAAGGACCCCACCCCCACCCCCACACCCTACAATCTTCTCCTTTGATGGTTCAATAAAAACACAAGAAAACCCCGCGCTCTCCTTCCTTCCTTGTCCCCTGAAAAATCATGAAGAATCGAAACAGAGGCAAAATTTCAACTAAATGGATTGCTATTCTTTGCATTTTTAGCTTTGTTCTTGGTATGCTTTTCTCTAACAGGTAAAAGGTTTTTTCTTTTGGTTATGGGGTTTGAATTTTTCATGGGGTTTCAATAAAATAGCTCTTTTTTCATCTATATCTTCTTTAGAGATTTTGGGTCATCATTTTTTTGGATTTTCTAGAAATAGGCAATAGATGTTTGTTTTTTTGCTGAAAAAGATTTGATTTTTATTGGGCATTTTTCTGTTTTTTTTTTTTTCATTTCTTCATCATTTTTT